CAAAAACATAACAAGCATGATCCTCCGCCCATAATTCCTTATGAGCGCGGTGCAACCAACGTGCAGGCCTTGGATGATCAGCTCGTTGAGCGTGATTTATTAATACGTGAGCTTCGAGCGAATATACTCCAAGCTCAGAACCGAATGCAACAAAAGGCAAATAAGAAAAGACGTGACGTCGAGTATGAGGTGGGTGACTTGGTTCTCCTCAAGTTGCAGCCTTATCGTCAATATTCGGTAGCTCGACGTGCTTCACATAAACTTGGTCGCCGCTATTATGGGCGATTTCAGATTTTGGAAAGGATTGGTCAGGTTGCCTATCGACTTGAGCTTCCACGGGACTCAAAAATTCATAATGTCTTCCATGTATCCCAGCTTAAGGCTTTTAAGGGTGAAGCTCCAGCCAAAAGTAGCACGTTACCTGCTTATGTTCCTGACGGGGGTTTGACAATTACTCCTCTTGCCATTCTGGGAGAAAAACATATTTTGCATAATGGTCAGTTGGAACGCATGGTGCTAGTCCAGTGGCAAGGTCTTCATCCTGAAGAAACAACCTGGGAGTTAGCTTCTAGAATTGAAAGTGAGCTGCCACAACAACACCTTGAGGACAAGGTGTCTTCTAATGAGGGAGGAAATGATACGAACAAAAGGCAGCCGAGCCCGGCACACCGACCTGAGCGTCAACGGCGAGCTCCCAGTTGGCAACGTGATTACTATATGATGAAGGATTGAAGTGGCTCGGATCGTATTTTAATTTAGGCTTGTTACTTATTTATTTATTTTCCTCTTTATGGTATTATATTATTTCCATAGGTGTGAGTTCTTCGAAGTTAGGTATCTTTGATATTCTTGTGGTTAGATATAAATATGTTGCTATCTCGTTACTTTGGGACGGAAGAAATATATATGAAAAAGAGTTTCGACTCAAGGAGTTAGCGTTTGCTCGAAGTAACGCAAATCTTGAATACAAGATCGTATCAATTGGTGTGAGTCGAAACGAGAGCACCAATTGATACGATCTTGTATTCAAGATTTGCGTTACTTCGAGCAAACGCTAACTCCTTGAGTCGAAACTCTTTTTCATATATATTTCTTCTGTCCCAAAGTAACGAGATAGCAACATATTTATATCTAACCCTAAGAATATCAAAGATACCTAACTTCGAAGAACTCACACCTATGGAAATAATATAATACCATAAAGAGGAAAATAAATAAATAAGTAACAAGCCTAAAATTAAAATACGATCCGAGCCACTTCAATCCTTCATCATATAGTAATCACGTTGCCAACTGGGAGCTCGCCGTTGACGCTGAGGTCGGTGTGTCGGGCTCGGCTGCCTTTTGTTCGTATCATTTCCTCCCTCATCAGAAGACACCTTGTCCTCAAGGTGTTGTTGTGGCAGCTCACTTTTAATTCTAGAAGCTAACTCCCAGGTTTCTTCAGGATGAAGATCTTGCCACTGGACTAGCACCATGCGTTCCAACTGACCATTATGCAAAATATGTTTTTCTCCCAGAATGGCAAGAGGAGTAATTGTCAAACCCCCGTCAGGAACATAAGCAGGTAACGTGCTACTTTCGGCTGGAGCTTCACCCTTAAAAGCCTTAAGCTGGGATACATGGAACACATTATGAATTTTTGAGTCCCGTGGAAGCTCAAGTCGATAGGCAACCTGACCAATCCTTTCCAAAATCTGAAATGGCCTATAATAGCGGCGGCCAAGTTTATGCGAAGCACGTCGAGCTACCGAATATTGGCGATAAGGCTGCAACTTGAGGAGAACCAAGTCACCCACCTTATACTCGACGTCACGTCTTTTCTTATTTGCCTTTTGTTTCATTCGGTTCTGAGCTTGGAGTACATTCGCTCGAAGCTCACGTATTAATAAATCACGCTCGGCGAGCTGATCATCCAAGGCCTGCACGTTGGTTGCACCGCGCTCATAAGGAATTATGGGCGGAGGATCACGACCATATAGCGCACGAAACGGAGTCATTTGAATACTGCTATTGAAGCTGGTGTTATGGCAAAATTCTGCCCAGGCCAACATTTTGCGCCATGACGTTGGTCGTTCACTAACAAAACATCGAAGGTATTGCTCCAAAACGCGGTTCACCACCTCCGTTTGCCCGTCCGTTTGTGGATGATATGCGGTACTGTGGAGGAGTTTTGTACCACTTAATTCACTCATAGCCGTCCAAAACTTGCTCATGAAAATTGGATCTCTATCAGTTACAATTGTTTTCGGAAATCCATGCAACTTAACCACAGCCTCCACAAAAACCTCCGCAACTTTCGATGTTGTGAATTGGGAAGGTAAGCCGGCAAAATGAACAAACTTGGAGAGTCTATCCACCACAACCATAATGGTCGTGCAACCATTAGAGATGGGCAGACCAACGATAAAATCCATAGAAATATCATCCCACACCTTCTGTGGAATTGGAAGTGGTTGCAATAGTCCAGCCGGCGGCTTATTTATAGACTTCACACTTTGACATATCGGACAAGCACTAATGAACCTACGGATATCCCCCCGCATGCCATCCCAATAGAAGTTAGCTGACGCCCGAGCCAAGGTTCGAGAGACACCCGTGTGCCCAGACAGTGGAGTAGAGTGACACTCAAACATGATCGTATCCTTGAGTTTTGAATCTTCACTCAAATAAAGCCTCCCTTTTTTTAACAATTTTCCATTCATCACCAGATTTGTGTTAGGTTTGCTCGGTTCGGTTCGGTTCGGTTAATTCGCAAATAGTAGGATTTTTTTCGATTAACCGAAAATTCAGTTAACCGAGATTTTCGGTTCGGTTTCGGTTAGCAAGTTTGAATATTTGCTCGGTTCGGTTCGGTTAGCAAATACCTCAAAAAACTCGAGTATCCGAACCGTGCCCACCCGTAGCAGTGTGTGCGTGAGTTGGAGAATGGAGTGTGTGAATGTGGGAAAGATATATTAATTAATAGGGTTTGATGGTTGGAGTGGGGCCCACTATGAGTTGCATTTTATGTACTGACTATGTTATCCTTAATGAGGGCCAAATGACTAAATTGCTATTAATGAGTTTGACTTTAATTACTTACCTTTGTCTTTATCTTAACAATTGATATGTAAGATCTAATGGTCTACATTCATTCTTATTTCTTTCTCTACGTACCATCCGATCCTATCTATATATATA